TGATTTAAGGAAATCAGTATTAAAACGTCAAACATGCCTATTTTCAATTATAATTTCTTAGTGCATGGCATATAAGCCTAAGAGAGTACTAAAAGCTAAGCAATACATCTTGCAGCTTTCATGCCATTCCAGGCAGTCTTGTGGACTGTCCCAAGGCTGACCTCTGCTGGCAACTCCTTGTGTTGCTTCATGGATTGCCATGCATAGAGATTTTAGTGGCCTTAGAGATGTCAGAAGGGTTATTTATCATTCAGCTGGGTTGAGCCTAGTTGTATGTGGAGAAGGTGAGAGTGAGAGGCAGGGGCATGGGAAATGTGTTGTTTTCCTTCACAAACAAAAGGATAGTCAATCATTTGTCTCTATGTAGACTACAAAATTGATGAGTACCCTTCAGGGTGCCCTGACTTGGATGGCCCACGCCAGCCCAGTCTTGTCAGATCTCAGGAGCGAAGAGGGTCAGCCCTGGTTAGTACTTGGATGGAAGGTCACCAAGGAAATCTAGGGTTTTCTATTTTAAAACTTGCTGCTTCCCAAGTAATTTAAAAATGTATCAGCCCTCCAAGAATCTCTGAAAAGATATTGTGCAGGCTGACTGGCATTTTTCCCCTCACAAAGGGTTAGTTCCACATGGTGTAAATCAGATCGCTGTGTATTCAGAAAAGTATGGCAAGCTGTTGGAAGATATAAACTTCTGAGCGTTTGACTGACAAGCGATCATTGTGCGGAATATAGTGGCAGGACCTCTCCCTGATGTTTCAAGAACATGGATCTATTTCTTCTTTTTTTTAAAGAGATGAACATAATCTGCAAAACCTCTGCAGAATAAGATCCTAAAGGGGCTATGGAAGAAAGTCCCATTGATTTCTTTCCCAGACTTACTATCAGGAAGTCTTAATTATATTCCTTAATTGCCATTTTCTAATTTCCTATTTTATTCTGATATGTAACTGTAACAACACTTGTGCAAGGGAATGACTCGACCTTCCCTCTCGCTACTACAGCCTCCCATGCATCCTGGATTCCCAGAAACAACACGGAGGGCAAAGTGGGGTCTTCATAAGAAGAAGGAAATCAACAAATATCACTTCTGTTTTCTGTGGGCTAAAATTTGTTCCATCTGCAAAAAACAACAACAACAGAACTAGGATCTGAGATTATTTAAAAGGCACTACATCAGTCGTGGGGAGGGGAAGGGAAGGTTAGCAACAATGCATATCAAAACCAACCAGCAGAAACTGAATAAGCCTTATGGCAGCTCTAGAAGTCTTTGGTGTAGTGGCTAGGAGCGCAGACTCAAATCTGGGAGAACCGAGTTTCACTCCCCACTTCTCCACATGCAGCTGCTGGCATGATCTTGGGTAAGTCACAGTTCTCTCAATCTCTTCCTCTTCTTCTTATGCTTCTAACAGTGAATCAGTTTGGGATTAAACCTGCAAAAACCTGATACCATGACAGTAGTTTGGAAGTACAAAGCATTGGCTGAACAAACTGCTTTGAGAAACTGCCAGATGACAACTTGGTTTCCCATTAAACTCTTAAACAAAATTCACTAGACAATCAGAAACAAAGGACTACTTGTCTGCCCACCCCCCGTTGGAAGTTAGTTGCACTCAGTTCAATGGGACTTCTTTCCTGAGGTATATGCCCTAAATGCAATACAGAATAACTGCTGTTAACAACATATTCATGCTTTTAATTGACAGGTCAACTAAAGATAGACCAAAGCCAGTTTGGTGTAGTGGTCAAGAGTGGCAGACTCTAATATGGAGAACCAAGTTTGATTCCCCACTCCTCCACATGCAGCCAGCTGGGTGACCTTGGGTCAGTCACAGTTCTCTCAGAGCTCTCTCAGCCCCACCTACTCACAGGGTGTCTGTTGTGGGGAGATTAAGGGAAGGAGACTGTAAGCCACTCTGAGACTCTGAGTGAAGGGAGGGGTATAAATCCAGCTGTTCTCCTTCTTCTTTAAAGGAGATCCAACTGAACAGCCTTTCTTATTGCAAAAGTGGTATTCCTTGCCCACGTGGTAGTTAAAATAAAAACTGTTCTGAAACAAAGGCGTTAAAACCATGAATGATTTAATGCTAAATTCAGAATATACATTTACAGCACAATTCCTTATGTACAGTAATCACATTATATGAAACTCTTTCAAGATTTCATCCTAAGCACAATTCCTTATGTACAGTAATCACATTATATGAAACTCTTTCAAGATTTCATCCTAAATCCAGTTCTCAGGGTGGGTGGGTGGGAGACAGAACTATCACCTATGGTTGGTATAAAAACACTTATGATGTAGATTTGTTTACTAGTAAGCATGAAATTTTACAGGGGGCCAAATCCATTCCTCTTTCCAACACTGACTTCTGGCAATCCTCCATTATTCTTGGTAGTTGGACCTCCTCCCACTTTTCAGCCAGTACCAACAACTGGCAGAAGGTCAAATGAATAGTGTGTAAGCTAGTCTGAAGACCTAATTGTCTTTGCCAGAAAGTCTCACTGAAACCAATGGTCTACTACAGAATAAACTTGTTTAGGATACATGAGGCTGACCAGTGACCATCTATGTATAGGGGCTTTGGCTTTTATCCTGTGCAAGTGCCAACCTCAAACCTGAAACAGTAACAAGTCGTACTACAGAGGGGCAGCTGAACTGACATGCTGCAATGGGAAAGACAATTTGCCACTTTACCACACAGTTATGCCAATGAGATATTCAATAACTAATTGGAAGACTAGGGCTGCGATCACACACACTAAATAATCCACTTTCACACTGGATTTTGTCAGTTCACACAGTTCAGTTCAGTTGACCTTTATTGGGATAAAATACCTTAAAAAGGATTACTATAAGAATATACATTTAAAACCATGTATAGCCAGACATATAAAACATAAGGTAGCATAAAACAATTACTCATTGGAAGTTTTCCTGACGTAGCTTTATCGTTGATTGTAAAAACATGGCTATGTTAATTGCTATTTCCGGAACAGAGTCGTTTAAAAGACGGTGTACTTTTAAAGCATCAGGAAGGTTCGTCATGTTGGCTAGGACAGGATTTAAATATCTGGCACGTAAAACCACATAAAACTGGCAATGCAAACAAATATGTGAAACAGTTTCAATACATCCAGAATTGCAATGGTAAAGTCTATCCGCATATACTATGTTATTATATCTCCCATGCAAGACTGCTGATGATATTATATTGAATCTTGCTAGAGAGAAAGCTCTGTGCTGTTGCGGTGCTTGTATACCAGACAAGTATAGTGCCATTCGGCCTACCGTAAGGGCCATCTCAAAGTTCATGGGGGAACAAGATTGGCTAAGCTGTAAAGCCTTTGTGTTTCAATATCAAGGGCTTGACGCTTAATCATCTGAAAAGCACCTATAAATGGGAACATAAACAATGAGACCAGTGGGATACCCATGGCAATTATTTTATTCTCAATGTATGATAGCCATTTAGACACATTTGACTCTGTGAGCATGTGTTGTATAAGGCTCCCTTGGTCTACATTGTAATGTAGACACAGCCAATATTTTACTGTCGTAAGCCACGCACCAGTAAAAATCCAGTTGGAAAGTGGATTATTTAGTGTGTGTGATCACAGCCTAGGTGCCTACAGAATATTTTCATGAAAAAAATTTTTGGGTGTGTCTGTGTGTGTAGGAGAGAACCTTGCACAGGCACCAAAGAATAACTGTATTTCTTTTAATATGTCAACTAATTACTACATTTACAAACACCTAACTCCATAGCAATGGGAGTGGGGTAGGAGAGATGCACATTTAATAAGTACCAGTGCAGTCTATCTGACTGTTGGGTTCTCTGCAGCCAAGACACAAATTGTAAGGAAGACAGGCAATAGATTAAGGACGGAGAAAAGGAAATACTTCTTTACTCAATGAGTGATTCAACTGTGGAATTCACTGCGAGTCAAGGTAGTGATGGCCACAAGCATAGACAGCTTTAAAAAGAGATTCATGAAGGACAGGTCCAACAATGGCTACTAGCCATGATGAGCTAGGGGAATTTCCATATTCTCAGTGCTAGGAGGCAATGTCAAGGAGCACCTTGACCTCTACATCGTTTATTGCAGCTGTGTGAAACAGGATGCTGCATTAGATGGACCACCAGTTTCTTAGATGGACCATCAGGGCTCTTCATATATTCCTAAGATAGCCCATAGTGCCTTCAACATAATCATTTCAAGAGTGTAGCCATTTTCTCATTCACTCAAAAGTGGTACTGGTACAAGCCCTACAGCATGAGAAGCAAGCAACACACATATTTTCACGAGACAAAAACATTTACAAAAACCACTGTAGGAAATAGTACAGCCTTTTGACAAAACAGTACATATATACATATGCAATCAGGAACCGTAAGCTGCCCGTAATAAGGAGCTAGTAAATAAGAGCAACAAAAATACTGCTATTGATTGTGCCATGTTCTGCCCAACAACCCCCCAACTGTCACAGTAGTCCACATGCCATAATACTTTTCCATGGCTGATACAGCAATACCTAAGCAGATTCTCACATGGCATGTCTGAAGGCTTGTGCTTCGAAGTCCATGCTTCTAAAACTGAGCATTCCATCTTAGACATGTAAGCAAGAGCACAGGCTTTTTGCCCCTTACTGAAATCAGTAGTATGAAGTTTGGCTTCCCGATTTACAGACAGCCATGCAGAACAAGATCCAGTGTTTCAGGTTCATTCAAGTACATACAATATATTTTACAGTATTTTTCAACAATGTCTAGTAGTTTCCCTTTTAAGATTTCAAATCCTAAAATTACCACCAACACAATAATTGCCGATAGCTAACTTTTACTTTTTTAGAAAGACATAGGAGATTTATGGGAATGACGACAAAATACTGGTAATGGCTCAGAACAGCAGTTTCCTGCTCCAGTGTTTTCCCCTTTCAACAATGTTTTCGGTAGTCAGAAGTACTTTCAGCTGTTCCAGATGCTTAAAACCGATCCATTACTGAGATGCAACTCAAGTCCTACATCCGAAAGCTTCTTGTTCTTTGAAATGGCTGGAAAGGTTTTTTAAAGGCCCACATCAACAGCATTGGTTTCCGTTTACTTTTTTCAGGAAACAGAACTGCCTCACTTTCACGGGTAGGAAATCGCTCCTTGTATACATCAGGATAGGATTTCTGAAACTACAAAGGAATACAGCAGTATTAGTAAGTAGGGATTATTCATTAAAAGCAGCAAGGTTTTAGTTTTGGATGACAAGAAAAATGTGTTTATAATTCCATTTATCTTGCCAAATTACTTCTACAAAGCAGTTTAATTCTCAGCAATTCTGTTTTTGAAGTTCTTAATTTCTGTATCTCCGGCAGTACAAGAGGTTCATGTTTGCCATGCCAGCCGATGTTTAAAGCCCACACAAAATGTGATAGCCCTACTGTACCATTCTGAAGAATCCCACATATCTATTCATGGTCACCAAGCTGCAATCAATTCATATTCACCTGGATCTCAACCATTAAAAGATTATGTTGAGCCAAGTTGAAAAAACATATTTACTAAGTCTTGCAATACTTTAAAACAAAAAGATTGAACATTTGTGACTCTCCACACTTTGATTTAGGGCTTCATACATTTTCATAATTAATGAGGACCCCGCAAGAAGCACTAAGTAAATATTTCTATAGCCAGAAATCCAGTAAATATTTATCAAGGAAAAATAAAACATTTGTGGGAGGGTTAACATCTGCCATCAGAAGTGTCTGTGCCACTACTGCTGTCATCACTACCAACACCCTGGGTTATTTCCAGCTGGGAGGGAAAGGTAGCATTGAGAAATATGCTTCAAGAACTCCAGGGTCACAGGTTGAGATCTCTCACATCATCTACTACCTGATCTTTTTAACTACATACTGAAAATGCCAATGATTGAACCTGAGACCTTCTGCTGGCATTCTACCACTGAACCATGGCTCCTCCCAAAACAAACTTACACACTTTTTGTGGCACTGTCAACAAGGGAACTATTTTGCATATGCAGCAAGTTTATTCTCCTATTCATGGCTCAGAACATCCCAAGCTTGCAAATATATGCAAATCTACTAGTTCCATCATAATCTTTAATGAGTCTATATGATCAGTAGCTGCAAAGGTATTAAAAGATTTGAAGAAGCAAGAAGGTGTCGAAGAAATAAAAAAGAAATAAAACCAGAAGCTTATTTTCCAGCCAGCTTCTCTTGTTGGTGTAGAAGAGTTCACTTGGTAGCCCTCAGCCCTCCATATGCAAAAGGGAACCAATACTCATCTACCCACCTACCGTAGAGGGCTGTTATAACAATTGCAAGACAATAGTATGCAATGCTCCCTGAACACTTAAAACACCATAAAGAGGCTAAGCGCCATAAAAGAGAAAAAAAATTAAGGAAGTTTGAGGATTTATTTTACCCGCTTCAATTTTTTCTTCTTCTCTTTGATGGACATTTCTGTATCCTTTGTGATTTCTTCCAGCAAGCTTGCCAGTGGCTCTTGACAGCCATTTGTTTTTTGGTATTCAAATTCATCAGTGCTAATCTGATGACAAAATGATGGAGCAGGTGTAGTGGCATCAGTATCTGCTCCCGAATATTTTATCTAGGTGGAAAGACAAACAGCTCAGATTTTGCATTCCAGCATTAAAAGTTTTATATGCATATTTCCTTGTGGGTAAAATAGGTAGAAGGAACATTAACAATTTGAGATATGTAGATGACACCACATTACTGGCAGAAAACAGTGAAGACTTGAAACAATTACGGATGAAGATTAAAGTACAAAGTGCCAAAGTAAGATTACAGCTGAAGATTGTTAAAGATTTTCTATTCCTTGGCTCAACCATCAACCAAAAGGGAGACTGCAACCAAGAAATCAGAAGAAGATTGAGACTGGGAAGGGCAACCATGAAGGAGCTAGAAAAGAACATTAAAAGTAAGGATGTGTCACTGGCGACAGAGGTCAAAATAATTCATATCATAATATTCCCCATTACTATATAAAGTAAAGGTAAAGGTTCCCTTGCTCAAAAGCCAGTCAAATCTGACTCTAGGGTTGCGGTGCTCATCTCCGTTCCAAAGCCGAAGAGCCAGCGCTGTCCGAAGACGTTTCCGTGGTCATGTGGCCGGCATGACTAAACACCAAGGCGCACGGAACGCTGTTACCTTCCCACTGAAGTGGTACCTATTTATCTACTTGCAATTTCTTGCTTTCGAACTGCTAGGTTGGCAGGAGCTGGAACTAGAGATGGGAGCTCACTCCGTCATGCGGCACCCGGGTCTCGAACTGCTGAACTACTGACCTTCCACAGCCTGCAGTTCAGCGTCTTAACCACTTGAGCCACCGCAGCTCCATCATTACTATATATGGGTGCTTAAATTGGAAGAAAGTTGATTCATTTGAAATGTGATGAGAGTTTTACAGATACCATAGACTGCCAAAAAGACAAATAGGTGGGTTCTAAATCAAACCAAGCCTGAACTCTCCCTAGAAGCTAAAATGACTAAACCAAGGCTATCATTCTTTGGCCACATTATGAGTAGACAATAATGCTAGGAAAAGTTGAAGGCAGTAGGAAAAGAGGAAGACCCAACATGAAATGGTTTGACTCAATCAAGGAAGCCATGAGGACCCTCAGTTTCCAAGACCTGAGCCAGGCTGTTAACAATAGGACATTTTGGAAGTCATTAATTCTTATGGTCGCCATAAGTCAGAAGCGACTTGACGGCACTTAATTAATATTCTGTATTGTGATATGGAGACAAGGCCTTTCTTTGGGTACTACCACTACCCTAAGCAAAGCAGTCCCATCAAGAGAAATGGGATATTTTTGTGGTAGCTCCCAATCTCTGCAGTATTTTCTGATAAACCAGATATGTGTAATAATTTCAGAATGCAGGACTTTTGAGTTGGGATGCTGGAAGCTCAGCTTGTTTTAAATATCACTTCTTGTTTTGCAATGTTAATGCTCCATTTTTAAAGTATGTTATCGTAAACCAACTTGGGGACATTACAAATAGTGGGATAAACATTTAGAGATAGTATATAAGAGAAATTACACAAGAGAGTTACAGCAGTGGGATTTACTCTCATCGTGATTCCCAAATCCATGAAAAAAATCTCTTTTCAGATTATTTTCATATGCACAAGAATGAGTTGGAGGAAGCATTCCCATAACTAAAAATTGTAAAAAGGGATCTATAACTGTTTCCTGACCCTACAATGTTCAGGAGAAACTTATGTAGAAGCCTGGTTGACCCAAAGAAGCTATTCAAAAAAAAAGGGGGGGGGGAATGATTGTCCAGAGACTCAGTCTTGAGATAATAATAGTTAAAATGTGGCAACAGAAGGTGTTTAGCTAACTACAGCAATTAAACAAGGGCAACCCTAAGCTACTTGACTGTTTATTTCTTGGACAAGAAGAATGTGTTTGATTTGTAATAGTGTGGTAAATGAGCGTCCTTGGGAAGAAAATTTACAGCTCTACCTGGACCCTTCGAAGATGTGTTACATGTTCCTCTATTGCAGCTTTCAGGGCACAAGGGATATTTAAGATTTTCTGATAATTGTCCATCAAGAATGATACTAGTTTAGCTGCCAGTAGTTCATCCAAGTCCACTTCATCTTTGGAACAGAGAATGGAACGAGAAAAGGTTTGAACCATCTGAAACGGAAAAGGGGGGGAGGGGAAATGGTGATTATATTTTATCCCACTGTTCAGACAAAATTAGCTCCCAAAGCGGCTCCAGGGACCAAAACACTCTAAGTCACTTTACATAGGATTGTACTGTATGTGTGATAATTCAATAAAAGTGTTTATTGGGGAGGGCATTCTCAGCCAGCTGCTTCTTGCCTCTCTCTGATGCCCCATCAGAAGTAATTGGAGGCAGGAGTGAGAAGGCTCTCAAGTGGAGCTTGGCCCAGGCACATAACAGAGGAATGACTGGCTTTCTCCTGCCCTCCCTCTGGTTACTATATTTCCTTGTTTGTATGCTAGCACTGTTCATATCGATAGCCTTGTAATGCAGGAATCAAGGTTATTTATGTGTATTTTTTACTTCCAGAGTTAAAAAAAAAACAAAAAAACCCCCCAAAACTAACACCACCAAACAGTTCTGTTAAATACATAGCTCAAAATATTCTCAGGAATTTCTTCTTTGTAAGGGCATGATTCTGTTCTCAAATTAAATACACATGTACATTCATACACACGTGCTGTCAAGTTGCAACTGACTTGCTAAAGGAAGATGGGAAGATGGTAGAGAAGCTCAGTGAATTTATTGCCTCTGTGTTCACTGCGTAATGTGTGAGGCATGTACCCATGCCCCAGCCAAGATTTTTAGAAAGGGAGTCTGAAGAACTGAGTCAAATTGAAATGACCAGAGATGAAGTTGTAGACCTACTGGGAAACTAAAACAATAAAACTCCAGGTCCTAAAGGCATACATCTGAGAGTTCTTAGGGAACTCAAATGTGAGACAGTTAATCTACTAACCCGGATATGTAACCTATCACTAAATTTAGTTGCTATACCAGAAGACTGGAAAGTAGCAAATGTTATACCAGGAAGGCAGGAAATCCAAATGTTTCCAAACTAGAGAAAACCTTCAACAAAGCAATTCCAAACTGTCTCTGCAAGACCAGACTAGGTCTTTCCATTCCAGAGGCACATACCAGTGTTCTTGTCCCAGCTGTATCACAGAGAGGGGGGAGGTCCTTATTTATACTGATCCTGGCCATCATAGTTATTAGCAGCTGCACTTTACGACGATTTTCTGGTGGCAGAAGAAGACAGCAAACCTGCAATGCTTCAATGGCCAATGACTCTTTCTGGAGGAGACCTGAGGAAAAATATAATTGCAAAATGATGATATTTCATTGTTAGGCATGTCTCTGTATAGAGAGAACCACTTTATTTTATCCAGTATATGATTAATAGTTCAATTAGTAACATTTCAAACTAAAAACGTGCAATTGAATGGAAAACATCTGTTACACAAGGGTCAAAGACTGTTTTTATTAGCTGTACTTTGAAAAGGTGATCAGTTAACCCATCAGCTCCATTTTGGTCTACAGGCTAAAGCTGTCCCTTTCTCTCCTTGTTAAAAACCTAATTACTGATGTAAATATGAAATTCTTTTGTCTCTCACTGGATAGCAGAAGCTTGAACTTCCTTCTCCTCTTCTATGTTACATGAACAGCAAGCCCAGTAGTGAAAATGTTTTCTGCTAAAGAAGGTGTAAAGTGGCCTCATTAATTATGGCTCCACTGTTTCTCTAGTGTTTCCATTAGTTTCACACAAAGGTCATTCATATTCACTATATGAATCATGAGGATTCACCAACTGCATCTGAGGAAGTCGGTTCTAGCCCACAAAAGCTCATATTGGAGTAAAACTTTGTTAAATGCCATAAAACTCCTGTTTTTGCTTCATATGCAATCAGCCCCTTGGTTGTATACTGGCTGTTGGTTCATCTTCTGTTCTCTCTCCTACTGCTGAAAAGGCCTTTTTTACCCCACCCAAGAGAAGGAGCCTAGGGTTTTCAGATTTTGTAGCTCTTGGACAAGTGAGCTGGTTATGAGATTGTGTTAAGATTACCCAGGCACAGGTTTATTTGTTCACAGGCTAATTTTTGTTCTGAGGGAATATGCAGAAATACATTCTAGATCTACACAAAGGACTGGTAACAAAAAGTAAATTCTGATGTTCCTTACCTGGCTAGACAACCTAGTCAGCCAGTGAAGGAAAATACCTGTGATCCTGCATTTGCTGTCTTTTTCCTTTTAGAAGATTTCTGCTTCTTACCTGCAAATGCCATATACATTTTACAATTTTATTTTTCATTTTAGCTCTTTTGGTTTGCTATTTTGTGGGTTTGGTTTTAGATGAGGATGTTTTTAACTATTATTGTAAGTTGCCTTGAAACATGAGGAGAAGGGGGATATAAATGTCTTAATAAATAAAAATTTTATTTCACAATAAATAATGCTTTTAACTATTTAATTAGATTACTGTGCCTTTGGGATCTCTCCCACACATTTGTCTTGCTTTGTTCACACTACCAGGTTTGCTCCACAGGTAAGTTTTGTATAGTTCTGACTTTGATTGGGGTGGGAGAGAGGCTAAAGTAGGAAGAACTCCTCTCACTAGGTTCAAAGAACTTCTCACATCCCCAGGAGCCAAAATCTATAAAGTGCTACTCAGCTTTCGCTTCCAGAGTTATCATAAGGATTCTGTGCATGCTTCCTGATATCTCTCAAGAAGTTTAGACCTATAGACTATAGTTCTCTCACTGTTACAGAAGACCTGAAAGAACAAATGGAGCCTACAGTTCTATACATTGGCACTCCACCAATACCCAGATCCCATGCTTAGATAAAATGATAAAAGATTGCAGCATAAAGATTTTGTAATGCTCACAAAGTAATAGATGTTAGGCCTCAACCCCCTCCTCACTTGGAAGGATAAGTTTAGTACCTATAAACAGGTGACACAAGCAACTTTCCTTCTCTTAGCATCTCACAGGGTAACTCATTCTTCCCTGGTCGGCAAACAAGAGATCAAAAAAGATCCTGCAGTTACATCGAATACTGACCAGAGGAATGTCTGAAAAACTGATCCTAAAGGTGCAAAAGGTCTGGTTTTTGGCAGTTCTCTTCCCTCTTTAAATCCATCAGTGTCAAAGATTGATTTTCTCATAAAAGGACAGGAAATCTAACCAACTCCCTACCTTGCCTGACCTTGCCCTACCTGGCCATCCTAAGTGAAAACCTGTAGAAACCATTTTAATCCCATAATCCTTTGTATGATAGTTGTCTTATCCTAGCAGCTAGAGGTCACCAAACACAATAGACATTTTCACAAAAATGTTACACTGCGCTTGCAACTGCTGGGAAAGTTATAATGCTTCCTTGCTCAGACAACATTGTTTTATTCACACCATCACAGCATTGTTCTAGGAGCAATCATGTCATGCTCCAAGGGGTATAACCAGACATGCTTTGTTCAATAATGTGTGCGTGTATCTGGATGTCTACTAACTTACACCCCCAATGCAAAGGTTGGGTACCCTGCCTGGGTTGAGACACTTGTTTGTTTTGCTCATCCTCCTTCTTGGATCTTTGTTCCTTGGACAGGTAAATATAGCCCTCCTTGGACAGGTACATATAGTCCCATAGAATAAGTTCCCTTCTTTGTCTCTATAAGTTGTTGTTGTTGTTCAGTCGCATAGTCGAGTCCGAATCTTCGCGACCCCATGGATCATCTCCCGCCAGGCCCTCCTGTCTTCTGCCGTCCTCTGAAGTTGGCTCAATTTCATGTTCGTTGCATCGATGACATTGTCTAACCATCTCATCCTTTGCCGTCCCCGTCTTCTTTGACCTTCAATCTTTCCCAGCATCAGGGTCTTCTCCAGGGAGTGCTCCCTTCTCATTTGGTGGCCAAAGTATTTGAGCTTCAGTTTCATTATCTGGCCTTCCAGGGAACAGTCAGGGTTGATTTCTTTTAGGATTGACTGATTTGATCTTTTTGCAGTCCAAGGGACTCTCAAGAGTCTTCTCCAGCACCATAGTTCAAAAGAATCTATTCTTCGGCGCTCGGCCTTCCTTATAGTCCAACTCTCGCAGCCATACATGACTACTGGGAATACCATTGCTTTGACCATGCGGACTTTTGTTGGCAGGGTGATGTCTCTACTTTTTATCATGCTGTTTAGGTTCGCCATCGCTTTCCTCCCAAGGAGCAGGCGTCTTTTAATTTCATGGCTGCAGTCACAGTCTGTGGTGATCTGGGATCCCAGGAACGTGAAGTCTGTCACTACTTCCACGACTTCCCCTTCTATTTGCCAAGGAGTGATGGGGCCGGATGCCATGATCTTAGTTTTTTTGATGTTGAGCTTCAAGCCCACTTTTGCGCTCTCCTCTTTTACTCTGAGCAAGAGGCTCTTTAGGTCCTCTTCACTTTCAGCCATTAGAGTGGTATCATCTGCATATCTGAGGTTGTTGATCTTTTCCCCAGCAATCTTAATTCCCGCTTGTGATTCATCCAGGCCAGCATTTCGCATGATGTACTCTGCATATATATTAAATAAGCAAGGTGACAGTATACATCCTTGTCGTACTCCTTTTCCTATGCTGAACCAATCAGTTGTTCCATATCCGGTTCTAACTGTCGCTTCTTGGCCCTTATACAGGTTTCTCAAGAGACATGTGAGGTGGTCTGGTACTCCCATCTCTTTAAGGACCTGCCATAGTTTGTTGTGATCCACACAGTCAAAGGCTTTAGCATAGTCAATGAAGCAGAAGTAGATATTTTTCTGGTACTCTCTTGCTTTTTCCATAATCCAGCGAATGTTGGCAATTTGATCTCTAGTTCCTCTACCTCTTCGAAACCCAGCTTGTACTTCTGGTAGTTCTCTATCCACGTACTGTTGAAGCCTAGCTTGTAGGATCTTGAGCATGACCTTGCTAGCGTGTGATATGAGTGCAATTGTGCGATAGTTTGAACATTCCTTGGCATTGCCCTTCTTTGGGATTGGAATGTATACTGACCTTTTCCAATCCTGTGGCCACTGTTGCGTTTTCCAAATTTGCTGGCAAATGGAGTGCAGCACTTTAACAGCATCATCTTCTAAGACTTTGAATAGTTCAGCTGGAATACCATCACCTCCACTAGCTTTGTTGTTACTAATGCTTTCTAAGGCCCATTTAACTTCACATTCCAGGATGTCTGGCTCGAGGTCAGTGATTATACCGTCGTGGTTGTCAAGGACATCGAGGTCTTTCTTGTATAGTTCTTCTGTGTATTCTTGCCATCTTTTCCTAATCTCTTCTGCTTCTGTTAGGTCCCTACCGTTTTTACCACTTCAATTAATAAGTTTTGATGTAATTCATTAATTCTCTTTAATAAAAAACATTTCATTAATCACAGCCTGGTTCATTTGAGTTTTACTGAGGGAAAAATCCCCCTAAACATAGGTGGAGATCCTGCTTGATTACCCCCTCTTGCATTGTTTGGGTTTCCTGGCTAATTCCCCAACAAACTCAGGAGACCCTCACAACCACTTTGGGTAACACAGAATAGATGATGACTTTTGATCATTTGAAAGAAAGCAGCACAATCCTAAACAGAATTACACCCCTCTGAGGGTGTAACTCTGCTGAGGACTGCACCGTTAAGCTTCTCCTTCTCCAATTCTGTATTTTCAATGGGATCTTGAGATTATCTTACCTCTCCTTTTTCATATATATACACACACACGATGTAACTGTGTGGAAATGAAAGGATAATTCAAGCAGAGTTCACACACTAGTAATCTTCATATTCAAGTGTTAGGGCCAATGACTCAGCAGCCAAAAACTGTAATCATGCATTTAATCCTATCTTCTTCCACAAAGGAGCCGAGGGCAGTGTACATGGGGATTTTATACTTATCCTCACCAAAGCCCCTGCGGAAGCATATTTTGAGCTGCCACAGCCATGAAGCTATTAGGAAATACCTTGTGTAAGGGAAACCCCTCCACATGTGGGTCATGAAATATCTACCAAGAAGAATCCTCATGCTGAACTTAAGGCAACTTCACACACATTGGAGTAAATTATCCTCCAAGTAGCCTTGTTCCAACTTAACTGGGTGTTCAGTTGGAGGAAGAGTCACTTAAATTGGAGGCATTCTTAGATTGGAGAAAGGCTACAAATCTAAGCCAAAGGGAAAGGTTTAATTTAAATAGTTCATATAGAAATGGTTGACTCTGTAATTGCAGCAGCAGTAAAATTGACTGTGAATAATATTTCGCTTGATTATCCCAAATATTCAGCTCTAAGAGATGAACTGATCTCCCC